CGCCAAAGTGCTCGAGATCATCACTATCGTACATTAACAAATTGTAATGTACGATATAAATAATGGATTGGATTGTAATTTACAATCCAACTCCATTTATTTTATTAATTTGGTCCGCACTTTGTGGTGTTTCGTGCTCACTTTTCGAAATCAGCGATAAACTGATCAGTTTTCAAGCAGGAAAAAAGTGATATAGCGTCGAAGACGCGAGGGTAGACAGTAGGGTCTAGGCACTCCATTTATTTTATTAATTTGGTCCGCACTTTGTGGTGTTTCGTGCTCACTTTTCGAAATCAGCGATAAACTGATCAGTTTTCAAGCAGGAAAAAAGTGATATAGCATCGAAGACGCGAGGGTAGATAGTAGGGTCTAGGCATACAAGACGGTGTGTGGGGAGGCATCAGGTGGCTAAATTGTGGCTAGATGGTGGCGACGTTAAATAGTGTTAGTAGAGGAGTAAAAAGTAAATCAGCCATGGAAGTTTGGTTTTGGAACATGCTGCGAGTGACCGAGAAAGAAAAATGCCACGTGTATTGGTCTTTATGCACATTGGAGGTAAGAGCGTATTTGCTTAACTGTCATGCAGCATTTGAATTGTTGCCTGCGACGATTTTTCATAACCGGCGTATCTTTACTTGAGGTCATTGACGTATAAAACACAATGGAGCGCATAAAAACGGTTTACAGAGCGTTTGTGTCATAAACGCTCCGTAAGTAGACACGAGCTTTGAACCTACTTTAGCGATTTCTCGTGTATGTCATTCTTCTAGTTCCTGCTAGAGGGCTGACATGCAGGGTGGGCGACGCGCGGCGGCACGATCTAGTCGATCTTTTACGAGTCACGCCGCTTTGGCCGCTTTCATCTTCGGGGGGCCACTGGGGTGGACCCATAGTGCTGTAACGCATCAACAACTCTTGTTATTCCTTACCTTTGCCTTGTGTGTAAATATCAAGGGGCAGTCTGGTCGGCACCAGGGTCGGCACGATGCACGTCGTACGTGGCAGTTGTGTACAAAGCTACAAATACAATGACGATGTGAGTCTATGTTGTCAATTTGATCGCAACGCAGACACGTGTAATTCGTTGGCTCATCGGCTGATTGATTGATTAACTGGAGTGCTGCACGGTCGTCGACGGCCCGTCGCCGACTGGTTCATTTGTTGCTGGTTTATCAATACTTCGACTCGATCCTGCTCTCACAGCCTTGAGGTTTGGCCACGCGCACGCGTTCTCGAATTATTGTGAGCACCTATGACGTTGTGGCTAGCGAACAGTATACGCTATACTTGGCGCTTCCACACATGCGACGAATAGGGTTAAGGACTAGTGACTAATCCTTAACCCTGGGAGCAGCATTGTATGTGCAGCCATGGCGACGATGTGCGGGATGGCGACGCGATGAAGCTGCCTATTGGGATCGGAGCTTGTGGGTACGAATATCGTTGTGATCGTTGAGGGGGCTATTATATTCCACAAGGCGGAGACGTAGTGTGACATTGTGGCATGCATTAAGCGCTGTCAGTAGCACAGACATCGACGCGAACGTGAGAGCGTTCTCCCGCAACGAGATCGTCAGCGATCGTCGGTTCTTGCCCGATGCGAGGACGACCGCCAGTAAGATAATGTCCTTGTCATCCAGCTTCGTGTCATTGGTCGTAAGAGTATTCAGACCACGAGCGCTCCACGAGGGCAGCGCCACGCGAGCACCAAGACACGTTCCTTGCCGAGCGTAGCTCCCGTCAAGTCGACGGAGTCAAGATGGCGCGACGTCGAGAGCCACGGCACGAAATTGGCGGCGAGCCCCGTGCCAACCATTAATTACGCACGCAGCGAGGTGGTCGAGAGGCGCTGACAAGCACCAGTGATCGTGGGCAGACTAAAGGCCGCCACAGCGGCCACGACGTCTTCCAAGGGTGATTCGCGTCCATGGAGTGCGAAAGAGCGGAGCTGGGTCGGATCGGTAAATATTAAATTTTAGCGGATTTTCGCTGAATTGTCTTGCAGATTTTTCAACATTGATATTCTAGCGGATTCGAGCCAATTCGTACCTCCATGTCTCCTAATTCATACCCCGCAGGTACGAATTAGTGGAATCCGCTAGAGTTTCATTCACAATGCGCTAGAATTTCAGTGTCCGCTAGACGGACGATTCAGCGAAAATCCAAAGAATTTAATTATCACCCTGGGTCGGATCGAGCTTTGCGAGGATGCCGTTCGCATGCTCACTGGAAACTTGGTTCAACGAGAACGCCGTTATGTTGCTCAAACCGTTCGGCACCGCCGCCAAAGCTGCTCGAACGGCCGGTACGCGAACCAGACTCAGTGTCGACAGCGTAGGGCATGCTTGAAGCGCGCTGAAAAGTGCCGTCGTGTCACGCACCGAGCCGCAGTCAAGCGTGAGAGACGATGCGCTTGGCCCTTGGAGCTATTCGACGATGGCCGATGTGTCCAGCGAGTCGTCATCATTATGTCTTCCGAAGCACCGGTCTCCACCTCGAGCGAGTGCAAGTGAAGGGTTGGTGTCGCTGCCAAGTGGTGCTCAGCGGTAAAGCGATTCACGGCGGTGCTTTTCATCGTCACATGCTCGACGTTGACGCAGCGTGCGAGGGTACCGGGTCCGGGTACACTTCGTGGCTCTTGACAATGACATCGGTGATGCGGTCGCTCCAGGCATGGGCAAATGCACCGACCAGACCGGGCGCGGAAGGGTGCACGACGAGTGTTGAGGGCGTTCTGGGTGGCAGCTGCGCATTGAGCCATGCGCAAAACCAGAATCCACGTAGACGCCCTTCAACGCAGGCAGTACGTACTTGCATGCCAAGGCGAGCCTGCCGGATCGTAATCTTTGTCACATGCAGCACCGGTCAATGCTCGTAGAGGTCGTCGGTCATGGCGCTTGGAGCGCGATGAGTTCGGACGGCAGCATCAACGGTGGTAGCGCTTTCAGGAAGGCGACGACGTCCCAGCCATTTCGAATCGCCTTGAGAATCGCGTGGAGTACGACGCTTGGCAAGCTCGGGAAGCTGTCTCGCTTCGTTTCGGTCATCGCAACTGGCGCCTCTGCGATTCAATTTTTGCTGTCACACACAAAACCATTAATGCAACAAAATAAGCAACAAAATGGATATTTTGTATTTTGTATTCGATTGTACAATCTCGTCCTCGTCTGTCCAATCTTCTTGTTCAGTCCTGCTCTTCCGTACTACTATTGTACATAGTACTAGAGTTCTGGTACAGTCTTAGCGTTCATGTCCCTTTAATATCTAGTTCACTTGTTACCTAAAAGCCGTCTGGCGCTCCGTCGACACTAGATACCGCGATGCAATAATCGTCTGCGCATGCTTGGCCAGCTCATTTTGGTCGCTCGAATATACCGCGTGGCTTGCACAGCAGGCAGCGCATTGATTGCTTCTTTGCTGTCCCAACAACCAAGATGTTCGCTCTGTGAGCGCCAATGTCCCAATAGGTCTGCCCTTGCTTGACACAGGAGTGCAGCGCCAAAGATACAGCCACCGCGATCCGAGCGACGTGAGGACAGGACGTCGACCTTTGGATGTATCACACTCCATGCCGAGGGTGCGACTCGTAGAACAAGCAATAAGACTCGCATGCATTCCGTCGCACAATTCGCTCATATTGCTTGAAACGCTGGTCCGAGGTCCGTCGCGCTTAATGATAAAAGTCGAACGTTGTATCGGCCCGCTTGATCGCGTTCTTGTAGCCCTTGTCAAAGTCCTTGGGCAGAATAACATACCGGTTCTTGCGCACGGCTTGGAGACCGGCCTCTTGGCAGATGGATGCAATGTCGGCCGAACTGATCTTCTCGGGGCGGTTGACGTAATCCTACAATACCATCGCGTGAGACACGTTAGCACATCCGCATCGTTGCCTCGAGGTCGACTTCGTCGCCGAGGTTCATATTCGCCGTGCACGCTTGGTAGATGAGACGCTTCTGGCGGCGATCCGGCAGCGGAAACTCAATTTTGCGGTCAAGACGACCCGGGCGAAGCAGTGCGGGGTCGAGCGTGTCCGCGCGGTTCGTCGCCATGATCACCTTGACGTTCGTGGCTTGATCGAACCCGTCCATTTGGTTGAGGAGCTCGAGCAAAATGCGCTGGACCTCGCGGTCCGCGCCCGTCTGCGCGTCAAAGCGCTTGGTCGCAATCGCGTCGACTTCGTCGATAAAGACAATCGCGGGCGAGTTCTCCTTGGCGAGGCGGAAGACGTCGCGCACCATGCGCGGGCCTTCACCGAGGTACTTTTGGACAAACTCCGAGCCGACGACGCGGATGAACGACGCCGTCGTGGCGTTCGCGACGGCCTTCGCCAGCATCGTCTTGCCCGTGCCCGGCGGGCCGTACATGAGCACGCCACGGGGCGGGTCGACACCAATCTGCTTGTACAAGTCGAAATGGGTGAGCGGGAGCTCCACAGCCTCGCGCACTTCTTGCTTCTGGACGTCCATGCCACCAATGTCCGAGTACGAGACGTCCGGGCGTTCCGACATCTACATGTTTTGCATGTACGTGTTGGAAAAGCCGATTTTGCCAAGGCGAAACAACATACCTGCATCATCTGAATGCTCGAGTCCGACTCGGGCGGCAAGATGGCCACGACGGCGTGCGAGTGGCGATGCAGCGCGACCGACGAGTTGGGCTTCAAGCGCTCGCGGTCGAGCGTGCTCAAGATGCGCACGTAGTAGTTGGAGCCCGCGGTCGAGCCCACGATGCCGTAGTTGGCGTCGACCATCTCGAGGAACTGGCCGATGACGAGCGGCACGGACTGGATGCGCTTGACCTCTTCCTTAGCACGGATGAGCTCGCGCTTCAAGTTCTTCATCTCGTCCTTGATGTAGCCCTCCTGGATGTCGAGGAACTCGAGGTGGCGCTGGAGCGCCTTGTACTTGGAGAACATGTCATCCTCCTGCTTCTACGCAGACAAGCATGAGCGCTCGTCGCCACGGCCATGAGCCTACGTCAGAGAGCGGCAGCATCGCCACGTCCTCCATGTCGGTCGTCTTGAGCCCGATGTCTTCCATGCTTCCTCGTCGCTCGAATCGGGTTGTCTACCTCCGAAATCCAATACCGCTACACAAGCCCCACATATCTTTCCCCGGATAATACGTATCCGGACAATCCATGGCTACACACACGCAACCTTGCCGCCTCCACGCCAGCACCGACCTGGGCCGCCAGCTCGCCAGCGCTTCAACCATCGATTCCACGCATCGATGCAAGCATGCATGTATATTATACATGGTGAGCTCGTGCTAAGCTACGTGCATGGTGGTGGCAGCACCACCTAGTACGGGCTCGTTGCCGCCTAGCATGACGCAGTCCACGCCAATGACGTGGCACCCAGCAATTGCGTCTTGGGCATGCTCAAAAGGGTGCATAAACTGTTTATGGAGCCTCTACCCAATGACATCGCCGTGCGGTCAAGTCCAAGAAGCAGAGAGTCGGGACGCAGCAACAAGACGAACAAACGAGGAGAACAACATAGAGATTATTACAATGGGCAGACTCGCTTAAAAGACATTGGTCCAGAGCTTGTTGAGGAGGTGCATGCAGGCTGGGTTGTTGGTGACCCATACAATAAACTAGACAGAGCCCATGAGACTTTTAGAGGCAAGCAAACGTCGTACTTTGGCGCGCTGGGTCGGCGTCAGAATGTTCTGGAGCTGGTCCATCTCCGTGTCGAGTGTGATGTTCTTTTGCTCGACGTCGGCCTTGAGCTGGTGCAAGAGCTGTAGTGCGAGCCGGAGGTTTTCGCAAATCTTGACCACGGCGCTCCTGCATACATGGGACGATGAGATCAGCAACGCGTGATTGGAAGGTACCGGTGGGATTGGATGCTCTTGCGTTGCTCCTCGGTGAGCCCGAGATCGTGCGTGAGGATCGAGAGGAGGCTCGTTTCGTCTTCGCCGTCCTCCCAGAACGCATCGTCCTGCTTGAGGGCCCAAATACACATCTTGGTCACTTGCGTCGGCATCAAGAGCCGCTCGAGTTGGTGCAAGTGGTAGTTGAGCGCCGACTGCCGGCCTTGGCCATAGTCCGAGTATTGCTACAGATGCTCTCTCAGACACGAGGCATGCTGACGCAAAATTACCTCCTTGAAGTTGTCGATCTTGGCCGCGATTTCCTGCTCGGGCGCGTTTTCATGGATCTACGCATTTTGCTCGAGACGACAGATATGTGTGGTACCGTCAGCGTACCATGGACTCGAGTTCAACGCAGATTTGCGTCTTTTCATCTTCCTCTTGCTTCATGGCCTCCTTCCCGGCCTTGAGCTGCGACCGCAGCTCCATGTTTTCCTTCTCGAGCGCCTTGCAGCGCTCTTCAACGCCGAGAATGTGATCGCGCTTCCGGCGCCGACACTCACGCGCTGACTCGCGGTTGCGCTCGAGCCGCTTCTTGCGCTGTGGGTTGAGGTCCGAGCTGCCGTCCTTGTTCAAAAATGCGTGAGCGGCGGCTGGTCGTCGTCGTCGGCCTTGCGCTTCTTCGAGTAGTCGCTGGCCTTGGGCGTCGAGCTCGCGCTGCTACCGCCGCTGTGCTTGGGCGACGTGGCCGCAGGGTGCACCATGTTGAAGAGGTTCAGCGGGTTCGCGGGCGGGAACGACGACGGCGCCGGGGCACCGGTCTGGGGCAAGTTGCCAAAGCCGGCGAGGAAGCCGGGGTACGCCGACATGAGTGGCATCATCTGGTTGAGCTGTTGAAGCTGCATGACGTTGCTCGCAGCAGAGCCATGCATGGGCATCGACATCATGGGAGGCATCGTCGGAAGGCCCGTCGCCGGCGGCGCCGCCTTGGCCTTCTGGCTTTCCTGGACGAGCCACTGGTACATCTCGGGGCGGATGTTGCTCGGAGGTACCGCCGTCGACACGGCGGTCCGCGGAGGAGCGATCGTCGTCGCGCCGCCCGTCTTGGTCTTCTTCATATTAGTTGCTTTCTCCATTCGCGAAGCGGGCCGAAATGAATGATGGCTCGGCGACGTAATCGGCGCGCTCGAACTGCGTCATCGGTTTTAAACACCTCACATACAAATATCAAGCGAAAATGTGGTGTTTTAAACGACATGCACTGGCCACTCGCCGCCCAATCCGGATGTTTGGCCAATCCAAACGCCGCGTTTCGTACCATCGTCGTCTCGTTTCCAGATAGTTTCTCCATACTGTCTCTTGTTCCGACGTTCCGCGATCGCGGAGCAACCAAGCAAGACCCATGGAGGACGCCAGAAGGGTACCACCATCTCTATATATACTATTAAATGGATAGACGAGATAGGAAGGCGTTGAATCACAGTGCAAAGTGCTGGACGTGACGATGTGTCTGGTCGACGATTGCACGACAGAGACAGTCTTGAAAAGGAGCGGACGGTTGCGGCGCCCCTGTCGCGGTGGCAGAATATCGCACCCAAGCAGCTGGCGGCTTTTCCACCAATGAGATGCTGCCATGTACGGCACGGGGAAATGATTGGCAGAGAAGGGATGCGCCGCTACATTGCAATCTTCGCGTCTGCGGACCCGGCTTGGTCGTGATGGTCCTGCAGCTGCATGGAGGCTGCTCCGACCATCATGGAGGCGACGACAACCCACGCCTCTATGCCTCTATGTGCATATACGGACGACGGTAGTGTACTATCTGATCGGCGCGCATTTTCGTGCGGCGGCGAATCTTTCGAATGGCGCCAGCCACCGATCCCCAAGCTACTACCGCACTTTCGAGCTTGCCATTCGTATGCCGTGTACATGTATGCTGGTCCATCGCGGTGAGATGTGAGGCTTGTCCAGGTAAGCTTACGACGCCTGTCGTTACCGTGCCCGGCCTCATGGTTGTGGCAAGTGGGACGGGCGCACGAGTCTCTTGTTCGTTGGACCACTCTTGGCTCTTGGTTGCCGTCGTGGGAAACCGAGAGAGATGCACATGTAGTACACCTAGGTGCAGCCGTAATCTTGGTGGAATCGCACTGTCATGCCGCCAGCCTACGAGCCGTCCTCATTCGGATCGACACAAGGAGGCCGAAGGATGCAGTCATTAGGGCGAGGGCGCAAGCGCGGGACTTGTGCTGCTGACAAGCAAGTCTCTTGAAATCCTGGCGCACACGAGCTGCGACGGGAGGCGCCATCACACTCGAAGTGACGGTAGCTCTTGCATGGCGTCCGTCCGTCCAGCGAGTCGCCGTCCAAATTCGAAACAAAAATGCGGCCCACCGCGACGACGGGAGTTGTAGTATTAACCAAGGGAGTGTGTGCGCCACCAAAACTCTACTACGAGGTCCCGCCTGCGTGCAAGAGCGACGCAAAGAGCTGCTTGCGCTTGGCGCGCATTTGACTGCTCCACTCGTCGCCGACGAGGATGCGGCACTGCAGCTCTTCTTCCGAGATGGCCTCGGCCATGTTGATGAGGCTCGAGAGCACTGTGCGGATGTAGTTGGGCGTGTCCTTGTCCGGGCGCGCCATCTTAAACTGCCAGTAGCCCACGTCCGCGTTGAACGCAAACTCAAGCACGGCTTGGTGGTTGGGGGCGTTCTGGAGCGTCGCATGGATCTTCTTGAGGTCGCGCGGGTCCACGACCACAATCTGGTCCAGGTCGATCGCTTTGCCAGGCCCCGAGCAATTGAGTTTGAGCTGGCCGTTCTCGATCCACGCGAAAAAGTCGATCGTGATCAAGTCACTCCACTTCCACTTGAAGTAGTCTAGGAAATGACCCAATCACTCAAAAATCAAATCAAATGCTCAAAAACATCCCAAAATCAAAACTCAACAATAAAAAATCAAAAACCACATACCGTGATGAGAGAAGGGCACGTACGGCGCCGTGCCGGGGCAAAAGACGACACCGTCCGTCTTGTGGTGGCGCTTCCCGTCGTTGTAGAAGCGGACGATCTCGCCCGTTCCATTGTCCGTGTGTGCGCTGATACTACACCCCCGCCTTCCATGTGAGACAATTGGTGCACACATAACAACGTACGCTTTGAACACTTCGCGAATATGGCGCACCGACTGCCAGCGCTTCCGGAAGAGCGGGAGAACGTTGCCAGGGGCATGGCGCGCATGCCGCGCTCGTAGCTTCCTCTACACGCACGATCGGTTTGCTATCCTCCATGGCAAAAATCGATCGATCGTCGTACGTTTCCGAGAGAAGCGTCTGGATCGCAAGGATGCGTTCCTTGAACGGCTTGCGCACGTGGCTTAAGCTCGGGAGCGAGCCCTCGGCGATGATGTCGAAGACCATAAAGACGTAGCGCTTGAGCGTGTAGTTGAACACATACTCGCCGTCGAGGACCGTGCCCTCCGGTAGGAGCGACACGAGCGACTCGAGACCTACAAGAACTGCACTCAGCCCATCGCAGAACGATCAACGACGAGAACGCACCGGGGGCGACGAACGCAAAGCTCGAGCGATCGACGAGCACGACGACGCCAGGGCCAACCACGAGAAAGTACCGGACGCCGTCGGTCTTTTCCGAGACAAAGTACTCGCGGTCGCGGGCGCGGACGACCGGGAGATTGCAGCGCGCAAACCCCACCGGCATGGTACCGGGAAACTTGTTGGCGTGGTCAAAGTGCGAGAGATAGGCGTTGCGGACCGCGTGCTCCGGGTCCATGACGTCCCAGTTGACCTTGTACGCTTGGCTCGCGTGCGGCATAAAGTGCCTACGCATGATTGGCATGACATTGAAGCGTTGGCTTATCACTATTGATGAAGGACACATGGAGTCGTACCGCGTGAGCGTGTTCCAGAGCAAGCCCGCGTTCGTGTTGGCGCCCACCCACGTCTGTTCATGGGCCATGTTGAGCCACTCCTTGACCGCATTGGGCTTGAGCTCCAACTCGACTTCGTACGTGGGCTCGCCGCTACTGCCGTCGCCCGAGACTTCGGTCAAGTCGATGCGCACGTGCTGGCCAATTGCCGACTTGCGCTGCCGGTTTCGCTCGCTCTCGGGCGCCGACCCGACGACGCTGGATGGGTCCGAGGGCGGAAACTCGAGCGAGATCGAGACGCGGCAGTCGTACTGGCAGTGCGGCAAGAAGATGTCGATGCTTCCGAGACGCTCCTTGACCTGGAGGTACTTGGGCTGCGACGGCCTTCCGTTCGGGTCCATCTCTTGCACGACGCGCTTCGAGCCCGGGTACATCTCGACGCGCGAGTGCTCTTCGTGCTTGGCGTACGAGTCCTGACTCGATATCTGCTGCAGCTTCTTCATGAAGCGATCGTAGTCGGCGGCTTTAACGCCCGGTACAAACTTGGCGCTGTTTGAGCGCATGTCCTCGTCGCGGAGCACGACGCACGCATTGCCGTACACCGATGGCTCAAAGCGCTTGGTCGTCGCGGTCGACGAGATCCGCCCAAAGCGCAGCTCGACCTCGACCTCGGCGCCAACGCCCCGCGCGTCAATCGTCTCGCGCATCGAGAGGAGAAAGTTCGTGATCGCCGCGTCCGGCGACTCCGAGTCGTGCGTCGGCAGCTTGGGCCCGCGCCCCGCGCCCGCCGCCGAGTTGCCGTCGCCGTGCATCATGGCCAGGTTGGCCTCGGTCTTACGAGCATCCGCCAAGCTCTTGCTCTTCTTGTCGAGGTTCTGGACCATGTTGTTGAGGTCGAACGGACGCTTTCGGCTGCCCATACTCGCCCGCCGAAAGTAGTATTCCAAAATGGGCGAGCGGTGGTGGCGTCGCAGCAGAGCTTTCATTGGCTGAAATGTCCATTTTTTACACCAATCAACGCCGTTCCAAAGATACGCTTCTGGCCGACGCCACATCGAATCACCGACCGCCCGGCGAACGAATATACAATCGTCCAGCCTGCGAGGGCCACTCTACCTGATGCTCCGTAGCGCTCTACTCGAATCCATCCAAAACTATGGCTAACGTAGCTCTCTGGTTTAGCTACCAGAATCACTGCTGGGTTGTGGTACCGATGCCAATGCTGCCATTGAGCCGTTGTTTTTGGCACATGGCCGCAGACGCGCATGTGGCTGCTTTCTTGCTCGCCTGTACCGCTGTTGGCAGCACCACCTTGAAAGATAGATACCGGTACATCCTTGCAGCAACAGCAGTCTGCTAATAGTACGCGGGGCAGCATGCTTGAATTGGGTTGGTCCGTTGTCGTGTCAACAAAATTGCGAGTGGTGCCATAGCAGCAGCAGCTCAGGTCATGCAAGGCTTCCTCGGCACCTCAAGCAACCTAGATCGTCGGACCAATTGTGCTTGCATTCTTGGAGCTCACCAAGCATCATGATGGCGACGTCGGACGTCAAATGCGCAAAAATGGCGCGGGAAGGACGAGGAAGTCGACGTCGCCCGCTCATGTTTATGTGTCGCATGAAATAAATCACGTTTTTCACGTCCACGGGACCGTCCATGGTGAAATTTGCCTACAAATGCAACCTTGATCGTGTGCAAAAGGCATGTGGGAAAGGTGAAACAATCTGGCCATCCGAATACGAAGCGTGATTGGCTGCGTTTTTATGTCGTATCCGGATGGTCGAGCTACAGCTTGTCCAACAATTCGATTCTTGGTGCGATGCTGGCCCGACAGCGCGTCGCGGCCGCGACCTGGCGCCGAACCTTTGGCCACCAACGGCCATCGATGCTCTCGTCCATTGCGCCCGTGCACACGAACTCTGCGCCATCGGACGACGTCGAGAAGGCTGTCGCACAGGCGACCGCGTCGCTGCTCGCACGCATCGCTGCCATGGAGGCCGAGAACGTTGCACTCAAGCAGCAGCTTCAAACGGCCATGAAGACGGGCGCAATACCGCCCAATGGAGTAGACAAGGCGCCCGCAGCGCCTACCATCACAGAGCCCAAGAAGACGTCTGCTACGACAGCGACCAAGAAGACGTCTGTCACGACAGCGGCCCAGAAGATGCCTGCTACCACCGAGCTAAAGAAGACGCCTGCCACGCCCGCGCCCAAGAAGTCGGTCGCCACCACAGAGCCCGTCACTGCCAAGCGCGCAGAGGTCCCGCGGGTACGCCCTGCCGCGCCGGTGCTGGAGGCGACGCCGCTTGTCGACGAGAGCACATCCTTGGCGGCACCCGAGGGTCGCAAGCTCCCAAGCAACAAGTTCTTCTTTCGACTCATGCACTCGTCGAAAACCATGCAGATTTCGCCGACCCTCCGCGCGGTATGTCTCTCTCTCTCCTGCGTCGTCGCATCATGACTCACAAGTCGACATATTAGATGCTGAGCGAGATGGATTTATACAACCACAAGTGGGAAATCAACGAGATCCCGGCGGTCATGAACTGCCTCGTGCTCTTGGACCGCGTGCCCGAGGCCTTGGCGTTCGCGAAAAAGTGGATCAACTCGCTCACGATGCTCAACCACTTGATGGGCCAAGCCGCGCGCGTCAAGTGCCCCAAGCTCGCGCTCGGGCTCCTCCAGCTCGGTGTCGAGCGCAACTATGCGATCGACGAGTTGACGTACAACAAGTGCATTGTCGCGTGCGCGCGGGGGCCGCCGTCGTACCTCTCGACGATCGAGCACCTCGTCACCGACATGCAAGAGCACGGCCACCGCCCCAACGACTTGACCTTTGGCGCACTCGTTGTCGCCGCCGCGCGCCTCGACCACTGGTCGGCGGTACGATCCTCGCTTTTTTATTCGTCAATTTTTTCACGATTTTGATCGGTAGGTGGGGCCGACCCTGGATATGATGGACGAGCTCCCATACGACGAACGCGTCGCAGCGTACAGCACGGTGCTCGTGCGCCTTGGGCGGGAGGACCACCACGAGTTTTGCTACCGACTCTTCAAACATACGATCACAACGGGCCTCTCGGTGAGCGAAGACGCGGTCCGCGTCGTGGTCGCAAGCTGCGGCAAGATTGCGCGCCGCGTCGACGCACTCGAGGTGCTGGATGCCATCTCGCTCGACTCGATCGTGTCGCTCAAGACCTTCAACGCGCTCATTGCAGCCCTCGCCAACTTGGATCCCACGAGAGCGTTCGAGGTCTTTGGCACGCTCCAGAGCCGCCCGAACCTCGAGCTCGACATTTACACGGTCAATTCCGTCTTGCTCGCGTGTGTCCGCGCGCGGTCGTTTGACGAAGGCGTCGAGCTCTTTGAGTCGCGGCCCGTCCCGTTTGATAACGTGACGATCTGCACCATGCTGCAGCTCTGCGGGCAGGCCAAGCAGCACGCCAAGGCAACTGAGATTTTTGGGACCGCCTTGACCACGCTGCCACCGTCGCGCCAGCTCTACGAAGAATACTTTGAAGCGCTCGTCGAATCCGATGTCGGGTCGCTTGCGATCGAGGCGTTCTGGCGCGCGCGCGAGAATGACACCAAGTTTCAGCCGACGCTCAAGATGCTCAACTGCCTCCTTCGCGCGTGCCATGCATCCACCGAGCACCTCGACGTCATGGGCCAGCGTCTGCTTGACGTATTTGAAAACGCCAACCACACGGTCTCGAGCGTCAGCGTCAACCACCAGCTCTCGCTTTTGATTGCCGCCAACAAGCTCGACGCGGCCGACGAGTGGCTGAACACGATGCGGGCGCGCGGCCTCGTCACGTACTTTTCGTACCAGCAACTCATGGTCGCGTACTATGATCGCGGTGAGTACGACAAGTGCCTCGAGGTATACGGCCAGTGCCGCGGCCAGCGCATCGAGATGCTGCAGCAAGTCAAGTGGAAGCCGTATGCGTTCCCGCGGACGGGCCTCGTGCTCCTGGCTCAACGCGCCTACTACGCGCTGGGGGACTGGGACAGCGTCGTGGCCATGGCGCCGACGGTCAAGGGCCGCCAGGGCACGTTGCACCCGTGGCTCTCGGACCGCGGCTGCCAAGAGCTCCTCATGCGTGCGATCCTCGCCCACGAGCAGCGTGGCGACTGGGAGGCGTGCGTCGCGCTCTACTCCAAGATGGTGTCGGTGGGCATGAACGACACGGACGCGTACCAAGCCACGGTGCGTGCGGTCGCCAAGGCCGGCGAGTTTGAAGCCGCGCTCGACGTCAACGGTGGCGAGTGGTACCGCAACGAGCGCACGTCCAAAGGCTGGTTCACACCGTCCGACGACGACGCCAAGTGAGATTAGAGGATTAGAGATACAAAAAGCAAGTCGAATGAAAACCACATTAGAATTCTTGGCGGATCGAGCTCGTTTTCCATGAACCGTTGCTCCTGCGCTGTGTAGTACAGGCAGCCCTAACCCTATTCACCAGCGGCCTCTCGGTCGCAGAGAAGCATTATGAGGGCTCGTACTGACCAAGTTGTTCTTGTTTCCCTTGGTACTGACTGACACTTAGCTCAGCGCTTCATGATCCATCTCATTCGTGTGTTGATCAACGCGAATAAACGTCATATCTATCTATCTATCTATCTATCTATCTATCTATCTATCTATCTATCTATCTATCTATCTATCTATCTATCTATCTATCTATCTATCTATCTATCTATCTATCTATCATCCCCACGAGTCCATCGGGTGGTGGACTCGTGGCTTTGACGGTTGGAGCCATTGTTTTGCGCGATGACTTGATCACGCCGTCATGCAGTCATCTCGGTGTGGGAGGGCGGGACGCAATACGAATGCATCGAGCTCGAGGGAACGCTCGCGACGGTAAAAGCTAGTGTGGTAGCTGCCGCGTCCAAGACGCCGACCCGAGCACTGGATAGTTTAATCGATCCACAGGAATACTAGTATGGTCACCGGTATTAATAGATAGACGGAGAGACAAACGATGGATACGACACATGAATCAACACAGGAGCTCTGTGTACGACCGATGCAGAAGTCTTTCGCACTGGAGTAGTAGGCAGCCAACACGGTGGGGCAACACGGTGGGGCAAGCGGCAACGATCGTCAGGGTTATCAGCTCGCTCCGAGGTTCTTTCGGTGACGCACAGGCTTGTGGAGGCGCCTTATACACCGTTCTGACAAACTCGACGCGAAGCGCTGACCGATAACAGATCGTCATGGGAGCAAAATACACTTTTGCACGAGGGAGCGATGTACGCATGGGATCGGTGCTTCAATCGACGACTCCCTACTGGATACGATGCAGCGCCGTTCTTTCTTCCCTTGCGCGCGCACACACGCGTTCCCTACACGAACAACATGCGCCCTATCGCCCTTTTGCGTGTCTTCTGCACGGCCGCTTTCTCCTTTTACTACGGGGTAGTCGAGCACGAACTATGAGCACTCGACGTCATCCCACCCGCATCGTTCAACATCCAGTGGACACGGGTCTCACGAGCCGCATGTGACGTTTTACTACCCACGTATCCCTGCACGACTGTACCCGCGAAGAAGAGCTATGTGATCCACGCAATTGCATTGGAGCTGGTCGTCGGCGTCTGGATCTGCATTCAAGGGATGCGTTTCAACCGTCCAGCCACGGTGCGCGCCTTAAAAACCGTTGTAAAGACGCCGTAAACGCGGCAAGCAGGCAGATCGTGTCTCTTTCTCAAGGTCCAGTTCGCGAACGCAACTCACACATTTTTGCGTGGGCAAGAACGCGCCGAGCGATCGCACGTCAGAAGGGCCAGACACCCTTGTGCATCTTCAAGGTGCAGTAACAGTCGCCCAAGTTCAACCCAAGATACTAGCCAGCTTCTTCTTTCTGTGCATGCAACAATCACACATCACCACCTCGATCAGGCGTCGAATACTGGACCAAGACGCCAACGTACTATGTACATGTTTCGGATTTGCCCGCGCCATCTTCGTCAACTGCAAAGGTGCGACGGCTTACTCACTCGGTGTACGCGATGCGCATCGGCCATCATCGAACGCGTGTGTGTGGACTGTCCATGGACCCTCGCGTGCGTGTTGACGCGAATGGACACCTTGCTGCGATTGGTAGCGGCAACTTCAACTAGCACAAGTATTGGTCAAAAGTCGATGCATTTCAAGCGATGCGTGGCGACGATTGGTGGCTTTGAAAATATCCAAACGGATTTCATCGAATCGGTGGCGTCCACCAATCACAGCCCGCGGTGCTCATGAAAGATTGGGCCGTGGGTGTCGCTGGGCGTCGCGACGACCACCCATTCCGTCGAAGCCGCGAGGAGGCTGGTCCGTCAGGCACATCCACTGCACGTCCATCCACCTTTCGTGAGCGATCGCCACTGTCCCATGCCCACGGGGCGGGCCTTGATTGGCCGCGGCAAGACGCCGATGTAACGAGGCCTACTTCAACGAGTGCTTTTTCAAACCCTTCTTCGATTTGTCATCTTCAACCAGGCACGTCGCGGTCTCTTCCTTGGCTTTCTGCGCCCCGCGGTTGCCAACTTGCGAGTTTCAAGGTGTTTTCGGCTTCCTGCAAGAGTATCTCCGTTGCCGGCAGAGAGTCTCCCGTGTGCGAATCTGGAATCCGCATCTGAGTTACCCAATGGTTCGGCCCGTTTCAGCACGGCGTCGCCCGCCGTCTCCACCCTATCGACGCCATCGACTTGCACCGACGTCGTCGCCGCTTGCAACCACGCATACGTAGAGGCAGTCGCATCCATATTCGCTCTCTTGGGGTGCTACTGCAGCCTTGGCACCAGCAGAATTCTACTAGATCTGAGTGGTTTCAACAGCAAGAAGCACTGGCGCCCCAAGCTGGCCCAAGATCGGCTGCGGCCCGTCGACAGAGACAGGTCGTGATTGGCTTGCGCTGTCACATGTGCCCCTCAAAGCGGGTGTACATGCCCATGCGTCAACGTTGAAGTTACGCGACTCGGTTGAACTAGGTGGGTGCTCGTGTCTTTTTCGACCAATCACACGTGCGTTCCGGTTTGCATCGACGAATCATCGCGCGCGTCGCTATGATTTTAACCAATCGTTGGCCGTTTGAAGTCAGCTCCCTTCGACAACCAATTCTTCAAGTTCAACCTGTAAAGATCTTGTGCTTTGTATGCCTCAATTGCGATTTTACATGCCAGGTCCCATGGCCTTTTTACCAGCACTGCACGCGCTCCACCTGCCACCGCCGCCACCGCCGACGTCGTCGCGCGCCCGCATGGACATCCGCGCGCTCATCTCGCCCGAGCCGCGGTACCTCGTCAAGAAGCCACTGCCGAAGGACAAGGACACGCGCAGCAAGGCGCGCCCGGGCTTCCGAAAAGGCAAGTGGACCGACGAAGAGAGCGTGTACGCCGAGCGCATGACGCACTACTTCAAGGAGGGCTTGTTGCCGCTCGAGAAGGGCACGATGCTGCGCATGTACCTCGCGGACAAGCTCAACTGCGAGCCCATGCGCATCACGAAAAAGTTTACTGGCGACGAGTGCATCGGGAAGCAGATCTTTCGCCCGCTGCCGCCGACGCCGCTCGTGAACGCACGCATGCAGTCGGTGCAGACCGAGCTCAAGGCGCTCGAGACTGCGTTCTTGCATCGCATCGAAGAGATGCCCATGTACTGCATGTCGACGAAGGACAAGGCAACGGCGTCGAACGAGCTCAAGCTCATCAAGCGCGGCAAGCTCCGCCCGCGCAAGGCCATGACGACGAACGCGGCGTCGGAGAAGGCCAAGAAGCCGCTGAGCCCGCCGGAAGACGCACAGGCTGCGTGCCTCCTCCTCGGCTTCTTCCATGGCGCGGGCTCTTCCGAGAACGAAGACACGGCCTCGGTCGCCTCGCCGATCGCGGCCGGGAATCCGTTCTTGCCCGTGGCGCAAGACGGCCGCATCTCGCCGTCTGGGAAAGGCGCACGGTCGGACGACGACGTCGCGCCACCCACCGTGCGCCCGCGCTCGACGCGCAAGTTTTCCATTTCCCACTGCGCCGACGAGTGCGACGACGACATGGTCCTTGAGATGAAGCGGCCGCGCATCGGGTCCATTAGCTCGCTCTGCTCCTAAGCACATCACGTCCTCTGTGTCGTCACGTCGAAAACTTAGAGATTATTATAGTCAATTCAATTTAATAGATTAGCACCCTTCCTTCTTCTTCCTCTTCTCTCGTCGCCATGGACGAAGGAAGCTATGGGCGCGACGGCGACGGCGGGTTGAACCAAAACGCGAGCTCGTCGGGCGAGATGGCAGACGCAGGCGTCGCCGCGTCGAACGGCACTGGATCCATCGCCGGCCAAACTTCAACCAGAGTCTCACGCGCGGCCGAGCAACTGTCCAGTCGTGCGACGTCCCACGATGCCTCCAGTAACGACGACGATGACGGAGGTGGTCGGGGCGCCGGTACCTTCTTGCTCGGTCGCTTCGACGCCATGGGGGTCGCCTTGGTCGGGGTCATCATCGCAGTACCGATATCGGGATGTGGGAGCTCTCTGCTGCTCCTTGCGCTCGCACCGTTGGCGCCGTCCTGTCGCCCGTCAAAAGCGCGGGCGCGGATCGTCACCCGTTCGATCGTCGGGACTTGAAGTTTGTATGGATACCAACTTGAAGTTGCGTTGCAGATGTGTCGCCATAAAGCAGCGATGGCTTGGGACCAGGCGCGTGACCTCGAACCACATTGATGCCTCGGGCGCGAGAGCCAAGGGTGCTGGTATCATAGAAAACACGGGCTCGTTGGCCAAACCTGCAGATAAGAGCCAAGGTAGGTTGAAAAATTGGGTGGATTTTCACACGCCAGCGCGATGGGTTGGGTGGAAGGGGCGATGATCGCGCCGGGTTGCAGCTCCGTGGGTTTCTTCTGTCTTTCACCTCCTTGTTGGTGCTTGCTCCATGGGACGCGTCGTTCAAGGATGTAACGGACATGGTTCCGTGCACTGGACGGGAGCCGTGCAATGAAGAAGACCAGGTATCGAGCGTTGGATGTTGTCGGCTCGTTGCTTTTGCGTGGCCAAGGATGATAAACAGTCCCTTCTTTCGGCCTAATCCTCGTGCGCTTGCTTCTGCAAAAACTGCGGCGCCGCGAAGCCCCGTTCTCACGGTCAACACCAACCAGAGTCTCTTGGTGGTGCACACATTTATAAACAATCCAAGGCGGGGAACGGTACTCACATGCCCTAAACATCCTACCACGATTGGCCGTTGCACGCAAAGGACTGGTGATGCCTGCACGTCTAAAGCTGCGGTGCTCCAACACAAGTCTACGACAGCAGCACGTGTACTGTATTATCGACCTGCGACCTGCGGAGTCTGCGACGCGCAACGAGCCTCCTTTCTTCATCGAGGAGGCAGTTGGAAAAGGGGAATCTTTGAGATTCGTGGTTCAATCTGCACCAATTATCAGACGATTTTCATTCTGTGAACAATGTTCGCACCATTTCTCTTCTATCATAAAATGTTATCGTTCGGCTCATCAACGTTCTGCGTGTGCCACCGCACCGCTTGTCTGCATTTATCGGCTCTCGATTGGCGCCACTTTCCGTTGTCGCTGAAGTGAGTTTCATATGCTGGGATGCAGAGCACACTTTTTTAGAGCTGGAGCTCCCATGACGCTGTCCGCGCTCCTCATTGAACCACTGATGGTGACCCATCGGCGACGCGCTGTCACCATATGTGCCTGATCCTAAGATCGACACAAACGGGGCAGCCTTCTGATGGGCTTCGTCGGCCAGAAAGTGTAGCTGGGTGCGAACTGCGACGGCTCCCAGCACGACGCTAGCTACGCAGAAGTCCTTCCGCGCTAGTAGCGCGTTGGAAGGAGGCACGGTGCCACGGCGTGTTGACGACAACTTCCTGCGAGGCGTGTCGTCGCTGTGGCCAGCAGCATCACTGTACCCGCAAAGCACATGCGCCACTGAGACCTGGTGCGGCAGCGTCTGCCAGCGGCGGCCCTTGGTCTAGACAGACGGTAGCTCAAGCCACCGAGTAGAACCAGGCGTCGGTCGATGCGCGAACGTCAGTCGCTCGTGCGGCGCTTTGTTAATATTACATGTAGTCTCGAGGCGAGCGAAGACACCAATCGACTGGCTGGCCCCTCGGAAATGCGAGACGTGGGTGAAGGAGCGCCAGTTTTTGTGAATGTGGGCGGGATACTACAACTCCTTGGCCATAGGCTTGAGCCCTGCAGTACGGCAACTCTGAATCGCAGCATTTATTATCAATAGCAGCAGCACCTCGGATCTTTGTGTTTATTGCTCAGCTCCCATGTAGGCGTTGATCGCACAAGGTGACCGTGGAGGGTATATAGAAAGAAGCACTGTTTTCGAGTTAACATGTAAGCGAATTAATGACGCTGGCAACAAAGATCCAGCGACGAGGCATGTGAGTGCTGTGCAAAGCACGAACCTATTGTCGCATAATTATAGCGTCGTGTTTAACCCCTGGCTTTCTTGAACCGTGGTGTCCCTAACCCTAGTCCATGCTGCGTGGTCCATGCTATTTGACAGCGCGATTTAGTCAGCTCTCTAGACTAGCGTGTCGTTTGTCACATCTTATATAAAGAGGTAGCGTAGACTGGTAGTATTAATAGTCATCAGCGATTGCGACAAAAGCAGTCATGCAGCGATACTAGCCTTTGCGGCAGCGCATATGATTGGCTGTCCAGAACATACATTCTGTTGGCGCCACGGCCGCGCGCGAGTGAAGGTTTATCGGTTGCTGTTGCAGCCGGAGTTAAGCACACGGAAACTTACCATGGAATCTTCGCATCTACTGGATGGCCTCTGGCACTTGGAGCTCGCGGACGCTCGCCTCGTGTTGCCCTCGACGCCCACCTCGGACGATTTTTCGCCCGAGGTGGACACTGTGCATTTGGCGCCGGCCAGCGCCGACACGAACAACGTCGACTGGTTCCACGACCTCTTTGCGTCGCTGGACGCTACGGACGTTGACAACGTCAACTGGCTCAGCGATCTTTTCTCTCATTTGGAAGCTCCGGACTCGACGCCGGCACCAATGGTTGGCTGCGACGAGCGCATCCCGAGACTACTACCCCCGCGTGTAGACTTGCACGTTCGTCATGACCAAGGCTATATGTGTGGACCGCCGCTGCCACATCTTACACGTCAAGATCGCATTTTGCGTTGGAAAGACAAGCGAAAACGAAGGCTCAAAGGGCGGCGCATAAGCGAGTCGCACCAGCTTTCGTCGCTCGGGCGGCGAAGGGTCAACGGACGGTTTGCGCCGGCCACGGTCTTCTTACCCGCAACCTCCCAGTAATGCAATAGCTAATCGTTTAGAAGCCTCCTTATTATTATCATCATCATTGCTAGTCGATATTCTCCTCGTCACGACGACCAATGACCCCCAATGACCCGATCTTTGGTCCAGAATGTCGGTCGTCCACCACCACGTATCGCCGTTTCTCGGAAATTTCCATTGTCGGTGGACGTGCCACGTGTAGACCGGATGTTTTTGACGCGCGCAATTTTCGGACGCTGGGAGTCGCACGTTCGATGCGGCGATAAATATTGCAAAAATGCGTTACACATCACTAGTTAGTACAATTTGTAGAAGTAGCTTTACTAGTATACCGTCCTCAGCATCTATCCCTTATACTCGTTTATCCATCTTATTGCTTGCCAAGTTGCTTTGTGAGGTATCGAGCGCTCAATAGTTCGATAGGTCGTGGTGGCCAAGGGCGTTTCGGTGATACCCACTTATCCGTCAAACGAGAGGTTTGAGCACACCGTCCCTTGCGAGACGCAAGTGACGACGAAGACATCCTTCCATAAGGAGTCTTCGGTCGTGCAAGCTTGCCCGTTCTAGTCTACTTGAAGTATGCTCGTCGCATGCACATGATCGAGGCTGGGCCGAGTCATCCTGTATGGACACATGGCCATTCTATCGCATGTGGAGTCGTCAATGCGAGTCGACTAGGCATTCGAAATGACGTGAAAAATACTGTGCGCTGTTTGTAGCAACAACCGCACACGGCGCATCACGACTGAAAATATTGGCGCCGCCAGAAAAGGGTCGTTCGGCGCTGTATGCTAGAATACTGTACTATCATTATGAACGAGCGCATAATACGCAGTGTTGAAACACAACTGTCGGGCCCCCACCAGTCGCACGACATCGCTTGCCAGTTTAGGCCTGTGCATTGTCACTGCACAAAAGTGGTTTCGTTCTCGTCCAAAACCTTTGCCTGCCCAAAAACACACAATCTTGGTGATCCGCTTAAGACAAAAAGCACAATGTCGGCAACGAAAACACATTGTCGACAACGAAAACACAGTGTCAACGGCTCTTTCCCCAACCTACACAACCGCAAAACACTTTGACGGAATTCGTCAATTAGGTCACTATCATGTTTAGACACACAAATGCCTCACTGGTTCCGTTTGCGAGACGGTACAGAATCGATGTTTCACGCGAAACCAAGACCGATGACTTGTGCTGCTGTGGTTGCTCACACTGTCTTCAAAAATTAACGTGCGGCGCCAGCGTTTCAAAAGACATGCCATAGAAGGAACCCATAAAGCTGCCTTCCATCCGCGTGCATTAGCGAAGGAAGAGAGAAGATTATCATGGAACGCTAATCTCACTTCGGTAGCCAGGCCATTGACCAACACCACCAAATTGCCTCAAAAGATACTCGATCTGTCAGCCATGCTCTATTTCTTACCGTCTTTGGACGAATGCTGCGTGGACTCGTTGGGTGAGGGAATGTCTCTTTACCACGAGTGTACCAACACTCGACTTGATCACATTTCACACAAAGGACGCCAATGACGAAGACTCTTGTGGCTCGAAGCTCTCGGGTGTTCGGATTTGGCCACATTTGCAGAATTTGTGGGCCGAAAACATCCAGACGCGAGGCAAAATTTACATTCAACATACGTGGTTTAGCATGTCAACATTTCCTGCGACCTGGTCGTCAATATTGGCGAGTGTAGTACACTCGACCTCGGATGTATGCTGCTGTGGGCCGCTCGAGCACAGTAGGACCTTGTGTTCTAGTACATTTCGAGAAGAGGCTCGAAGAGAGCACACCCCACTTGTGAATCGGATCCCATTCGACAAAACGACCCGACACCATGGACTTTTCCATCGCGCCCTCGCCGTCGATGGCACCTCCTCACTCCGCGTGGACGGACGCCGACCTCGAGTGGCTCGAGGAAGGTCTCGCCGCCTTCTTTCCCAACGAAGCGCCGTCGCCGCGGCCCGCCACCGATGCACGCTTGCCCATGGTGCGACGCCCGATCTTGCTCGACGGCCGCTGCTACTCGTTTAGCTGCCCGTCGTCGCCAGTGACCAAGGCGCCGCCAATGCGCACGCGCGCGTTCTCATTGCGACGCCAAGAAGCGTCGGCGAAGCGGCGTCGCATCAAGGGCCGGTACGCGGGTTTTGAGTCGCCTTTCTTACCCATCACAGCGCTCCAAGGACCTTTGGTGGATCAGGATGCCACCCGTCCTTGTCTGTAGCCACTTATTTACCCTATCCCCATATAAACTGCAATCTGGGTGGTGTTTTGATAACCCAATGCTGCAGATGGGATGTGTAAAGAAAGGGTCGTCGTTGGCAAGCGAGATCAGCTACCAACAGCCAGCACGCAACCGGTGCATCGCGGACTCGTGAAGGCAGAGATGACTCAACCCTGCGTCCGTGTCGTACTGTGAGTGTCAATAGTTCGCCCTGGCTAAAAGTGCGATGATTAAGCATGCGCTATGGGGTTGCAGCCGCATGCACGTTTGAAGTGACATGACCGGCGTGTATTTCTGCAGGGGTACATAATCGCCACAGTAGAGAAGGAAGCGCGCCAGCAACGTGCTCGAATCGGTCAGGCAACGTCCCAGCAATCATGCAAACATGAAGGTTCATATCGTACGTGGTTCTGTTATCGGCGATTACACGGACAACGACTGCGCTGGAAGCACGGAGGCTGGGCTTGGGTTGCATACAAGTGACACTTCGCAGTACACCACACCGCGTTTGTGTGGCTGGCGTCCTGCGAAATGCCATTTGCATTTCGAACACACCCTCCAAGGTTCCAAAGCTGTCGTCGCGATGCGGCACGCATGGCGCAGACGAGAGGACCATGTTGACGACGACGACCACGTCTTCGCTCTGGCCAAACGACGTGGATGATGACGACGACGACTTGCTGAACGTGCTGCCGCAGAACGCCTATGGAGATGGGACCATGAGCCACGGCTCTCGGCCATCGTCGCTCATTTGCCCCAAATCCCATGGAATGCAGCAAAAGCTGACTCCATGGGATTATGGGGGCCACGCAGCACCCACGCAAGGAGCGCAATCCGTTTAATTGGACGCAACTCGAATGCGTGGGCGGCGCAGCACTACAAGGCTAGGCTAGACGTGTACCTGTGGCGTCGTGTCGGCGTCGGGCGCGTCGTCGAGGAGGCTGCTAAAGTAGTCCGAGACGTCGTCGACGACCTTGGCATCGCGTGTGTCTTGCATCTGCGCCATGGATCGGCGTAAGCATGGCGCGCCATGGCGGCGACGACGTACATGGAGATGGCGGAGCTTCGCGACGCGGGCGCGCTTGTACTCGTGGGCCTCAAGGTCGTCGAAGAGGGCGGCGACGTCGTCGACGTTGGCTGCATCAGCGTCGTCGTCCAAGGCCCGCTTCATGGAGGTCCGGGCCGAGTCATAAATAGAGGCGCCTTGAGACTTGGTCGATGCCATCGTGCTGCTGACGCGTCGTCGTGTCTCGGGCCAAATCAAAAGTGATCCAGTCCAGCGGCTGGCAAATCTTGCATTATAAAAACGACATTTGAAAAGAATGCAATCTTTTTATTCAAGGCCTTTGCGAGTTATTTCACGTTCAGTATCCTGCCTACTCGGAATTTAAATTTTCCATTTAAATGCATCTCGGTGCCACCTGTACGGTGTACGGGATAATGTACGATGTACGGTTTCGAACCGAGTGGACGGTTGCAGCCGCTGCATTCCGCCGGTTAGTTAATCATACCTGATCCTTATGGCACGCTTCCTCCGAACGTTATCATAATAGCACAGACGACACGCCACGCGGGATTACCCAAGACCAGTAACGTCCTCTCCCCGAGGGTCCCTAGCATATAGTAGCATCTGTCTGCCTGCAGCAAGGTCCGTGTCGCTCACGGGGCTTGAGCTGCAAGATCGCAGCATCTGATTGGGCGCACTGCATCTTTGCGGCCAGCCTTTTTGCACCAATCACAAGACACACAAAGCCCTAGTCCTAGGGCTTCTGTGAGTGAGGGTCGCGTTTTTTATCTTGGCATTTGTATGAACCGTGACGTAACGGTATGGTGTTGGTCCTTTTTTTTCCAGAAAAAGGGCACTTTGCATTTTGCACAGCCTCCGAGAGCCGACACTTCGACCCTCGAAAACCCGCGGCGCAGGACCTATAGCACGCGACGGAGCTTCGATTCCTGCACTTCTGCCGCGCCTCACTACCTTGTCCGCGCTCGCGTAACCCCTGCCACTCCTCCGTACCGTCAACCACTGCCAGTTTCAGAACAATGACGACCCTCGCCTTCCTCTACGACCTTCCGACTCCCCACAGCGAGATGTGCGCGTTTGGAAGTCCAAATTTTTATCGGGCATCGCCCCGTTTGGCCGCGTCCAAGGACTACAACACCCGGTGGTCTGGCGCGGCCTCGGCGTAGACGACGACCGACCCCCCACCCCCCCAAGAAGAGAAAAAGACACGATCAAGATGACCAAGACCTCGAGCTCTGTAGCCGTGTCTCGGACGACGCCGCCAACGTCGACATGCTCAGCGACTTGTTCTCGGTCATTGAGGCCGACGCCTTGGATGCCGGCGCCGTCAACGATGTCGCCGACCTCTTTGGTGCGCTCGCCGACGACGACATGTCGGCGCTCATGGCCAGCCTCGACGCCGACTCGAATGACGCGGCGGTCGTCGATGAGATTGCCGGGATCTTTGACGACCTCGAAGACGTCGCTGCAGCCGAAGACGCAGCGGTCGTCGACGAGATTTCGAGCATGTTTGATGTGCTCGAAGCGGATGCAGCGACGGCCAACGTGCAAGACGAAGCCGACGCGTTCCACGTCGACGACATTGCGGACCTGTTTTCGTGCTTGGCGGCGCCGGCCCCGATGGCCAGCCCGCGGGTGCCCGTGCTCGACGCGCGGCTGCCACGCCTCGACAGCCGCATTCCGATGCTCGCGCCGCGGTCGCTGCCGACGCTCGGCGGCTTTGTGTGCGGCCCGCCGGTCTTTCAGAAGACGGAGCTGACGCGCGCAGACCGCGTTGCCCGTTGGAAGGACAAGCGGAGTAAGCGTGCGCTGCCCAAGGACAAGCCCGTGTTCGAGTCGCGTCAGCAAGTCGCCGCCAAGCGCCGCCGAATCAACGGGCGCTTTGCCGGCCTCGAAACCACGTTCATCTCCATCTCGACGCTCCAGAACTAAAACTCTTATCGTCTTAATCCAATCTTTTCTCTCTTTTCTGTGCCCATCGTAGTGGTCCCGATAGCCTCCGTGAGTTTGCGTGGCTATCGGGCGGAGCACATCTACGCAAGAATGGCTGCCGACGCTCCGACGTGGCGACAGCGACTGCACCGATCACCACTCGTGAGATTGCTGCTGGTTGATGGATTTGGAGGTTGAGATGGAATCCAGTTGTTTATTCGAACACTCAATGGTCTATACAAAGTCCCTGTAGAGTGTGCATAAAAATACGCTGTAGTTACAACCCTGCGCAGGCGCTGATGGACATTCAATTTTTAAAGATCACATGTGAAAAATAGAAACCACATGCACGTGAGAAACAAATTTATCCGATTTTCGGTATCGGACCTATTTTACACGATGTGACGTAGAATTGACACGGTGGAAATCCATGGCACGCATTTTGTATCAAACGCCAACTCACCCGCCATGGGCAACGCCAACCCCAAGCCCAAGCCGCCACCGGCGCCGCAGCCTCTGGCGCCCAAGACACCACCACCGGCGCCGTCGCCGCCGCGGCCATCGTCGTCGTCCATTGTGGGCACGATGCTCGCGACCAACATCTCGCTGCGGCGGGCGGCGATCACGTACAGCGACCTGCGCTTTGGCGAGCGCTTGGGCCAAGGCGCGTGCGGTGAAGTCATCAAGGGCGAGTACCACGGAACACCGATTGTCATCAAGAAGATGCTACAGAACCAGATCAGCGCGGCCAACGTCGCGCTCTTCGCCAATGAGATCCAGCTGCTCTCGACGCTCCGGCACCCCAACATCATCCTCTTCATTGGTGCCAGCGCCGACGCCCAAGAAAACCTGTACGTCCCTTCGCAGTACGATGCTCAACTGTATCATCTCATCTCTTGTGCCTAGGTGCCTCGTGACCGAGTACATGGAGCGCGGCGACCTCGGGTCGCTCCTCCTCGACCCGACGATCGCGCTGAGCTGGAAGGATCCGCTGCTGCGGTTCGTCGTCGACATTTGCCGCGGCATGGCCTACTTGCACTCGCAAGAGCCAAAGTACATTCACCGCGACCTCAAGGCCGCCAACATCCTCGTCAGGTATTTACTCCATCGCTCATGTCTGATTGCATAACGATCAGTGTATCAACTTGATATTACTAGCGCCAACTTTCAAGTGGCCAAGATTGCCGACTTTGGCTTTGTGCGGCTTCTGACGGACGAAGCGCTGAGTCTGCGTGGCACGCCGCTCTGGACGGCGCCCGAGATCCTCCGCGGCGACACGTACACGGAAAAGGCCGACGTGTACAGCTTCGGCATTGGTACGATCCAATATGAGCACTGGACTGGATCTTATTAAACAAAACTCAGTGCTCGCCGAGATTGAAACGCGCAAGAAGCCGTACCACGAACATAACGTGAACCGCCGGGCCGGCGCACAGCGGCTCATGCACGATATTGCGTACAAGGAACTGCGGCCGACGCTCTCGGAAAACGCACCGTCAAGCATTGCGAGCATCTACCAGCGCTGCGTGCTCATGGACCCGGACGGCCGCCCCGGCTTTGACCAGCTCATTGTCGAGTTCGACTCGCTCGTGCGACGCCAAGTCGACGCCAGCGCCTAATCAAGCAGCCTTTTTGTTTTCTATCAACGCGCATACAGTGGCTTGGCCGTCGAGTCTTTATTTTCTGCCGACGATTTCACTCCAGAAGCAGATCTTAGCATTCGTCGATGCAGGGCAGCGAGCACTGCTCGCCAGTGTCCGATCGAGAGCGCGCAACCACTCATTTCTCAACGTACAAAACCCCTCATCTTCTCAAGACCCGTGCAGTCCCATTGCCTTGAGAACGCTCCCGCACGCGCCCTCTTGCCGTGCTCTAGTAAAACCGTGCGATTGGCGGGCGGATAGTTGAAGTGATGGATGGATACGTCATTTGTGGCAACAAGAACACGTACTAGTACACTATCCAGATACGGTCGCGTTCATATGTATCCAGACAAAGTAGTATCGGCAGTATGCAAGTCTATAACACACGCATGTAGTACCTATCTATCACTAGTATGCATCCGATCGCGTGCCATAGGATGGGCGCGAACGATCCTGCGATCCTGCGCATGGCTTCCTTGGATGCGTGCTCACATGCCCGCAACCGCGGTACGCACGGTCGTCTCGAGCGTCGTGAGAACCTCGCGAAAGGCCGGGCGACTCGACGCGTCTGCGGCCAGGCACGCTTCTACGAGCTGCGCCAATGGCGCCGGCACGTTCCACGGCAGCGGCCCGGGAAACAAGCGGCCGTTGGCAATCGCATCCATCGTCGCAAACGTGCTCATTGACTCGCGAACCTCGGCGTACGGCTCGCGGCGCGTGCAGAGTTCCCAGAGCACTAAACAGTTTAAAGAATCATGAGCCGTCCAAGCGCCTTTTTGAATGAATGAGAAACACGTACCCATGCCAAAGCTATAGACGTCACAGGCTTCGCTGCTACTGACATCACCGCGCAGGTACTCTGGCGCCGAATGCGTGGAAGGCCTGCGTACACTTCGTCGACCGCCAGTGCAATGTACCGCGTGTCCATGACCTTGGCCGCGTCGTAGTGCTGGTTCCTAAAAGTCTCGTTGATACATTAAAAGAGAAATAGAAGACGTGGCCTCGTACGATAAAACGATTGACGCGGACGTGAGGTTGCCGTGGGGCCGCTTCTGTGCGTTGAGGTACAGCATGGCGCGGCAGACATCGATGGCGATCGGCAGCAAGTGCGCCCGCCATGACAGGTGCACGCGGCGATTCGACAAGAGTTGGTCGAGCTTTTCAGTGCTAGGACGTTCGAATACGAGGTACAGATTGTCCTTCTCGTCCGTGCACGCGCCCAGAAAGAGCAGAACGTTTGGGTGGCGCATGAGATACAGCGCATTCATCTCTTCGAACAATCGGTCCATCGAACCGAACGGCTTGGCGAAGCTCTTGAAGAAGGTCACAGGCAGACCGTCGTACGTGCCGTCTTCGAGCAATCCAAACGACAAGGTAGTATTGGGATAAGCACGCGAGAGAGAGTCATACGAAAGGCGTAGGTGCGGCCTGGTGGCGAGCTGGTTTGCCACGCAGGGCGTCGCGACTTGATTGTGGAGAGGTGCGTTCGAGGTGTTGGGTTGGTCCATGCGTGTCAAATTTGATTGTGGACGTTTCGTCGTAGCTGTCACGACGACCTAAAACGTCTGTGAGGAACTTCTAAAAGCGTTCAATTGCTTGACGACCCTTCAAATTATCAATCAATCAAGGCTAAGTTGGGTACCGGTAGTGTTCAACGCTCCGAGAGACGCATCAACAAGTTCTGCCGCGTCAGCTGCGGCAATCGTAGCGCATCAACAAGGACGGCCGTGACCCCATCGCGAGTCAGTGGCTGCTCCGAGATGAAAAGCCTCTCGAGATACACACACGTCGTCGCTGGCGTCTCCGTCAGATGTACGTACAGTGGTGGTCAAATTAATCGCCGTACTTGGCCGGCTGATAGATTGATATCTCCTGTAGGAATAGATCTATAGATTTGAGATAATTTATTGGAAGAATATTGGATTGTAGCGAAAGGATGAGTGCTAATCATTCATGTTGTAGCAAATCATACTATGGAATGAGACAATATATCAAATGTCGTAGGCTATAGAGCCAGTGTCAGAGCCACATGATTTGGGCATTTGGCCAATGACTGGCGTTTTCGTTTGGACTTCAAGTGCGGCGATTAATTTGACCATGGTACTGCGATCGAAGAAACTCGCCCCTTCAAGCTCGAAAATCGTTAGCGCCGGGACGGAGGCCAAACCATCGATCAGTAGTGAGTCCATCTTCTGGTTCCCCAACCAACAGTCGGTGAGGAACTTCAGTTGCGCCAACATTGGCGCCACGGCAGCATAAAGCGTCAACTGGCTAAAGACGTGGCCGGCGAGGCGTCCGAGTTTTTTGTGCCCAAGGGCCGTTGCGATGTCCTGCATCGTCCCGTCGTCGACGTCACCTTTGGCACTCCACGTCAAGCTCTCGTAGGATGCCGCGAGACGCCAGCCGTAGAAACCACCGAGGCCAACGACATCGTTAATCCAGAGACCATGCAGCGATGTGTTGGCTTGCAGCGCGTCGCAGAAGGCCAGCACCGTGGAGTGGTCCCAGTGCGTCACGTTGGTCAAGGAGAGAAAGGTGCATGGCGCCTCCCAGAGCCACGCGTTTAGAAGCTGCCCAAATTGCGGCGTAATGTTGCGTGCAACCAGCAAATTGACACGCACCAAGCCAAGGTGCGAGTGGGCAATTACAGCCAACAGATCGTTGAGCTCCACGTCAGTCGTGGCATGCAAGGACGCGACGTTGATAATCACGTTTTGCAGAAGCGGGCAGCGCTGCAGGAGGAGGTCGCTGATCGCTTTACCTTGGCCGCGCATCATGGTCGCGCTGTGGAGCTCGAGCGTAAGGCCGCCGAGCTCAGCCAAGATCGGGGCGACCTTGACCAGCGAGGCCAGCTGTCGACTCGCGCCCAGGATCTCGAGGCTCGGACGCAGCGGCAGCGTTGCCGCGACTATTATAGTGCCAGCACCTCTGGCGATACTTCTGTGTCGTCGAGATACAGCAGCGGCCACTCGGGTTGCGCAAATTCGTAACAGGCGGTCAGCGCCGGCGTGCAGACGCAGCGAGGGACCGCATGCAGAATGCTGTTAATGTCGTCATCGCATGGGTGGCAGCTAGTGTGGCAGCTTGATGTGTGGCTCTTTTAAGTCCCTTCCACAGGTCATATCCAGATGCGAGATCGGATTGGTGGAATTCTAGCCAATCCAATGCCGATGCGGGACGTCTCAAGGATCGATCGCCCACGTCTCCGTGGGCAGCTAGCTCTAGGTCTTCTGAAGTTCACCAGCGACGCTTGGCAGGTCCAGAATCCATTGCCCAAAACACCGCCGATAACCGACTTCTTCTAGTCTAGAAAGCAAGATCTGATAACAAGTCTAGGAACATTACTCGTGAGTTGAGAGCCTTGCTAGCGTTCACGGCGAGCTAGTTACGCCGTGGCGTTTTCATGTCTGCAGGAAAATGTGTCCACAAGATGCTTGAAGGTCGGGCGAAGAGCTGGTTGAGCGGCAACGCATGCGTGGTAGATCTCCCGCACGTTTTGTGGCGCGGTCTTCGGGAGCGTCGGTCGCGCGCCGTCGTAAACAATGCTATGCAGCAGCTGCACGCGACTCCGGGTATCGACAAACGGTATTTTCTGCACAACCATTTCGTAGAGCACTAGGACACGCTACTGAAACACGGTTGTTGACGCGAGGGGAGTTGTACGTACACATGCCAAAGCTGTAGACATCGGCCGCCTCGCTCTGCACGCAGTCGCCCCGCAAGACCTCGGGGGCCAGCCACGTCGGGATCGTGCACAGTGGCAAGGTTTCCTCGGACGCCAAGGCGGCGAGTCCAATATCACCGACCTTGCAGACACCATTCGCATCGCGCCTAGATGACAATTTCGGATGACTCGAGCCTGTCATTTTCACAATGGAGGGTACGGGAAGAAGACAGTGGCGGTCGTCAGGGTGTGGGGCGAGACACCGTCGTGGGAACCGATGGACCGAAGGTACTCCATCGCGACACAGACCGAGTGTGCTGCGGCGAGTCCGTGGGTTGCCCATGTCCAATGGATCGATGGGCTAGTAAGCATGGAGCGTAGCGACCCGCCATCCATCCATTTCATCGCGATATACCTAGAGCGACATAAGACAATATTATTGCCATGGATAAAACGTACAGGTTGTCGTGAGCGTCTACGCAGCATCCGACAAAGGACACAATGTTGTGGTGCTGGAGACGAGAGAGAAGTGATATGTGCTTGACAAACACGTCCCGCTTGGCGTCGACAGAGTGTTTGGTGAAGCGGCGGAGAGCAATAGTCGTGCTATAGTTATAGACGCCTCGAAACACATTTTTCCTCTCGTAAAGTGGTAAAGTGTCAAAGAGCACGGCGTCCATGGGGACGACCGAAGCAAAGGAACCGACCATCGTCATTTCGATGCCACAAATCGCAGAGTGCCATTCGAAGGAGCAGAGTCGACAACCAACAGCAAGAGCAACAAATCATATAAAATACGACCACGTGTTATTACAAGTGCCGGTGTTTGTCGCCGGCAACTGGATTTCTTTGTGGAATTGTTGGCGGCTGTTTTTGTCTCAAAGTGGCCAAATTGATACATTGATACCTACCTATGTTGATTAATACTACTGAACCGCCGGCCTAAATCAAGTTCCTCAACCGAGTGTACACAATAGATAAAACTATGCTAAATAAAATTGTCGGACTCTCTTCGTTGTAATACACGACCCACTTCAACAACAACAACCGATAGCAGGTATCGATACCTGATTTGTCTGTCGTAAGCGCAAGGATGGTTGTCGGGACGGGTCTGAGAGCCCAACACGTGAATATAACCTTGTCGACAAAATGTGCTTGTATATTGTCTTCTTAATTACGTTCAGCCGCTGCACAAGGCGCACCTCATCAACTAGGACGTGGCGGCGCTGTGCTCGTCGTCCGAGTCGCCTTCGTAGAGGCTGTCCAAATCGTCGTCATCGTCATTATCGTCATCATCGTTGAGGTAGCGCATGCGGGCAGCGGCCAAGCGCGCGTCGAGATCATTGCCGATGCTCGAGCGCGGACTCGACTCGACCGACGACGTCGAGAGCTCCGTGTTGCCCATGATGAACGTCTGTTCGCGCGCATATCGCTCGCGCGCCATCGCGAGCCGCGCGTCCAGATCCAAGTCCTTAAAGTGCACGCTCTTCTTGGAGCTCGACGCGGTATTGTACTGCGACGTCGACGTCGACGTCAATGAGAGCTCGGTGGAGTTTTGCTGCTCGCGCCGGTAGCGCTCCATGGCCTGCACGAGACGCACGTCGAGCGTGTTGGGGTTCGTGCTCGCCATCGAGCGGCTCGACGCGAGCACCGACCGCGTCAACGTCGAGAGAAACGTGCTCATTTCGCGCGAACTCATGTCGAAGCCTTCGGCCATGAGCTGGTCGCGGACGTACCCGAGCATCAAATTCGTGTACGCCTAGATGAGCATCGGTAGGCTGAGGCGAAAACGCGAGGAAGCATCGTACCACGGTGGCTTCCTGCTGCACCAAGCGGACCTGAAAGTCCGGCGGGACCGAGACCGCGGTGCCACACGCAGAGTCGAACGCCGACTGGCAGAGGTCCGGGTGGTTGTGCGGCCGCGTGTCTAGCGCCGCGACCGGCGAGACGGCTGGCATGACGTACGACCGCAGAATCGCGTGCGACCCCGGGCGCGACGACGCCTTCGACTTGGCCGCCGACGACGGCTGCGACGACGCGAGCGAGTGGCGCGACTCGGGCAGGGAGTGGTGCGACGGCGTCCGCGCCATCTGCGGGCGCTGGCTTTCGTCGACGGTCTCCGGTTCGTCATGGGGCCACGGCTTCTCGTCCTAGTAGTACATGTGTCCATAATGGCACGAACACATGAAAAATGATACGTACCGAGCCCGGCGCAAGGTCCGAGTACGACGGCCAAAGGTGCAGAAGCGCCGAGACGGCCCCAAAGAGGGAGAGATCGATGCCGTGGAGGCCACAGTACGTGGCCATGGTCGCATGCACGTATGCATTCGTGGGGTTGTTGTCCATCAAGACGAGGTTGACGCCGTACAAGAGCAGAACCGTGGCCGTGAGTGCCGTGTAAACGCAGTTGGCGAACGGCGCGTAGAGCTCTGGGTGCGATCGAAGGCGGCGGACAAGCGACGGGACCATGGCGAGGAAGACGACGAGGCCAAAGAGCAGCTGGGCGTAAAAGAGCATGAACGCATGGCGCGGGCGGGCGATCCAGCACGTCTTGGTCTCGGCGTTGAAGCCAAACGCGTTGCGCGAGAGCCCCAGCGCGAGCAGGATCGAGGGCACGCAGCTCAAGAGGCAGTAGTACATCGAGTCGTACGAGCCCACGACCGAGTACGGCAGCTGGCGCCCGAGCACCTACAGCAGCACGCCATTCGCATCGATCTGAAAGCACATGCGTACTACTACCATGTACAAGACGACAATGGTTAGGATCCAATTCCACACGACAAGCGACGCGAAAAACTGGTAGGCGAGGCCGAGGACTCGGCAGGTCGCGACGCTACCGTGCGACGTGGGCGTCGACTGGTCGCGGATGCTATCGAGCACCATGGTCGCGGCGAGGAGCACCGAGTAGCCGCTGGCAGTACGACGAGGCGTGAGGCCATCATGCCATGGGTCTCATCATTTACCATGTGAGCATCGCGAGGTTCGCCGGGAACCGCCGGCTCTGTGCGCGCTGGAGCTTGTACGTAAAGGCGCCCGCGGACAAGATGAGCGAGATGATGTTGAGCACCTTCGTCGGCGTCTTCATGTCGTCGGCGCACGAGCCGTATGCGGCCGCCATGGCGCTGCTCATGCTGCTGCTCCCAAACTGGCCTTCGACTAGACCGTACTTGTTCGGGCTCGAGGTCCATTTTAATGTCAATGTTTAAAGTTTCCTAAAAATATCATGATAAAAAGGATAAATAATAAAACTTCACCGCTTGCCCGCAAATAAAACAACCAACAAGGATTCAGTCGCACCGCGATCGACTAATCCTTCCCTTCTTGCGTCAAATCATCGAGAAAATGTAGAAAAACAATCGAGACCACGTTGTTTGCATAGAAAAACCCGCGATCCACCGCTGCAAGCCGATCGACGATCTCTAGGCTACACTTGTGTGTACCGGTACCATACATGCCATCATGATGCTACTTGATGCAGATATCATATCTTCCTCTGCGCGCTCGGCAGTCGTCGTCGGTTCCATGCAATCCCGCGCCACGAGCCACATACGACTTGCGATCTTCAACGACGAGAGCGTGCTGCCGGCGCCGAAGACGGTGTCCCTACTCGCGCCACAGAGTGGCATGGGCAGAGCATGTCGCCAAAGCGGAAGAGTGGAAGCCATGTCCGATTCAACTTTTGACGGCCAACCATGGCCATCGCGACATGAACCTCGTGCGTTCGAACCCAGATGCCATCAACATCCTTCACGAGCTCAACGTGGCCGCGGGCAGCGCCAGTACATCACGCCGCGTACGAGTACACAGTACGCTCGGGCCAAAATTTCGCCTCGACAGGGTGTGCGACATCGAGTGAAAGCCTCTTTGGCGCGCTGACCCTTGGCCCGCAGCAGCGGAACGAGAGGCCGCGGGTGCCACCAATACACTCTTTTGGCAGTCCGCTGGATATGGTGCCCACCACCATTTCGACACCAAGCGTGGGACAGACCCCACTGCGCGCATCTCCACGCAGGATGCCATTGTTGCAAGTGCAAAGTGGCGCGGCGTGCGTTTAGCGTATTTATGCATCCCATAGACAATTGCAGGTACCTGCCACGCAGTGGCTAAATCCACCCAAGTGGCAGCATTACGCGCTGGTTACGTACAGTAGGCGTCGCCCACGCCGGGCGTCTTTGAACCTCATTCTCTGAACATCGCTATCGCTATCACATGGGCGCCTGCTGCTCCAACGACGCGGTCCAGCTGCCGCCGTCGACGATCGCTCTGCGGTCCGTGCCCGTGCCGGCGCCGCCAAAGGCTGCCAAGAAGATCCACTCGAGCGAGTACAAGGTCGACATGTCGTCGTCGGGTGAGCCCGCGCCCGAGCCCAGCAATGACGAAGACAGCGACGATATGGTTGCGTCGCCGACGGCCGCCAAGAAGAAGACGGACCGCGTCGCGTCGGTCACGTCGCGTCAGCTGCGGTCGTCGACCGTCCGGCGCATGTATGGCAACCTCAAAAAGTACGCGCACTCGGTCGACGAAGTGTTCCACCGCGACACGTCGCCCGACCGCTTCATCACGTTCAACTCGTACGAGTACGACGAGCTCGCGCCGCTCCAGCACGAGTGGTGGATCGATCCGACCGCGATCACCGACACGCGCGCGATTCCAGCGGTGACCATGGTCTGCGAGTATGCCTTCCTGGACGGCCAAGAGGTCTTTATCAAGCGCCTCGACCGCAATGCGTCGTCGCACAAGCTGTCGCGGTCGCGCCGACTGCTCATGGCCGAAGTCCACATCGGCGCCAAGGTCGAGCACCCGTTTATTGCAACCTTTCTTGGTTTTGCATCACGCCGTACGCTGGCCTGAGCTGCGTCTCGGAGTTTGTGCACGGCACGTCGCTTCTCGAGACGCTGGCGTCCGGCCCGCTGAGCTGGCACGAGCACAAGCTGCCGTGGGCGCGGCAGATCGCGGCCGCCCTCGTGTACCTCCATAGCATGCAGATCACGCACCGCAACCTTAAGCCCGACACGATCCTCATCACGACCAAGACGGGCGCGGTCAAGCTCCTCGGCATGGGCCACGGGGCCACGAGCTCGTTCGTCAACCACCACCCGCCGACCACGAGCGAGTGGAGCGCGCCCGAGCTCCTCCAAGGCCGCGACGTGAGCGAGAAGACCGACGTGTACTCGTTTGGGCTCGTGCTGTTGGCGCTCGAGCTTCAAGCCTCGCCATTTGGCGCTGCGAGTGCCCACTACCACGAGCTCATGATGAAGATTTTGACGGGGACGCTGAAACCGGTGGTGCCAGCTACGAGCCCTGTCGCCGACATCCTCCACGACTGTCTGCAGTACCCGCCCGCGCGACGACCGACCATGGCGGTGGTTGCCTCTCGCCTCGACGGCCTCTCGCTCTAGACTCCTCCAACTACTACTTGTTCGTTCTCGTCGTCGTCGTCCTAACCTAATCCTATCTAATTGCAACCTCACGCATGGAGCTCACACATTGTTATGTTGCTGCTCGCGCCATGGAAACGCCCGCGGATGCCGCAGAGTAGCTGACGCGACGTGCGTCGATGACCGCGCCCGCTCGTCGCCAGTGCAAGTAACGCCCCCGATCCCAGTCCTCAGTGCGATCAACCATTACCTTCTGGATCAGATGGGTAACGCTCGCCGACCTTTCTAAGATCTTAGATCGTCGATCGGCCTCCTTGCATCTCCAAGAACAATGTACGTCACGTTGCGAGAAGAGAAATGTCCGTTCAATCAGCGATGCCTCGACCCAGTGCGTATTTCTTCCCGACCACAAAAAGCAGAGATCGTCGACGACGACCAAGACGATGTTGGCGATCCAACACGGTATCCACTGCGGTTTCCAAGACGACATCGTTCAGCAACGAGGGTTGGCAAGATCGTGTTGTGTTCAAGCCGACTATCCAGCGCCGGTCGGGCGACGATGACGTGGCAGTCGTAGACGCAAGTACGCGCGGACGCGCTCAAAATCGGAAACGGACGCAAAACCGATCGTGATGAAATGCTGGCGGTTGCGATGGTCGTAGTCGGCGCCGAACTCGTCGAGGGCGTGGCCAATCTTGAACTTGAAGCTACACATGCATGCGTTCGACTCTAACACGAATGCATGGTGTTGAGCAAGCAAGTACCTGGTCGCGCGCGCGTCAAAAGTGGCCTGCGTCATGTCGCGGTAGTACATGATCATGGCAATGTCCCGGGACGCGACAAGAAACTGGTATCGACACGCGGTCTCGTCGAAGCGTGCGGGCGACGGAAACTTGCACTCGAGGCGACCGACCTTCATGCTCGATGTGGGCACCATAATGAGGTCGGCGCCACCACCGACAGTTGGTGGTCGCAGCGACTCGACGAGCGTCTGCGCCTGCTGCCCGATGGACGCCAGCTGCGCCGAGAGCGATGGTCGCACGACGCGCCGCTTGACGACGACATGGTTTCGGTTGTTGGAGCTCGTTGGTCTGACGCGCCTGTCGTCGTCGTCGTCTTGCTTGGTACGCGGCGGTGTCTCGTACTGGGGTACGTCTGGTGCAGCGCAGTACGTCGTTGGCGTCGTGGGGCTGCAATGGCTCTGGATGTCGGCGATGACAAGGCTCTTCTTGGGCGTCGCGGCGTAGTAGGTCGGGAGGCTGTCGCCCTTGAAGCGCTGCATATTGGCGAGTTAAATATAGCAACACGGAATCCATTCGTGTCCAACTGCAACGTCGTCCAGAGGATCGCTATGGAGCTGATGCGAGTGGCTCGTTTTAGCTGCCGTGCACGTGGCGCTGCCACGTCATCGTACCCTGGCATTTCTTCCTGTCGGAACGGGCGCACACACTTAAGCCGATCCGAACAACGCATGCTCCGGTGAGGATCGATAGGCGGCATGAATGGCTCTACCATGCAAAAATGTGAGCTTGAGATTGCTCGCCACGCTTGGACTCATCACAAAGCGTGCAGATCGCTCCAACATGGACGCTTGACTCGACAACTTGGTAAGGCAACAAGAGTAGAGATGAATAATAGGTCCGCATGGCAAGCCGGCGCCCCCGTCGCTGTACCGCACGCCGGATGGGCGGCAGAAGGCGGCGACCGAGAGGTCCTCAACTCACTTGTCCTCAACTGGGTCAGTCGTCCCATCAAGCCAGATTTGTTTCGTTAAAGATGATGCGAGCTGCGAACTGGCTCGGCCAATCAAGGACGGCCGTCGAAATGGAACCGCCGGCTCAATGACATCGGCTCGCACCAGATGGTGCACTGCGCTTCGAAGAGCGGCGCACCACCACTTGCGCATTGGAGATTCCGACAAGCCATGGCCGTCCTGCCCGAGTCGCTCCTCATCATTGCCCTCGTCATTGGCGGTGCCACCGCGCTGTATGGCCACCGCTGCATCCATCACATTGGGCTGGCGCTCCTCCTCCTCGAGTACTTTTTCATTCTGACGCTCAACCAAGTCGCGGCCGTCGTCACGGTCCTCGCTCTCACCGTGTACCTCGTGATCGCCAAGTCGCGGCACGTCCTCGCCGACTGGGCCTACGCAGGCCTCCGTGTCGTTATCTGCCTCGGCGGTATCCTCGGCCTCTGTCTCTTTCTCTACTACGCCAACGCGACGGCCCTCGACGTCGCTACCCTTGGCTGCTGCGGCGCGACCGCATTGATCTTTGTCGGCATGTTTGCGTTCTGCGACGACCGCGTGAGCTTCATCGTGACCACCTCGATGCTCGGAACCGTGCTCGTGATCACGACTGCAGCGCTCTGGGACAATGACGACCTCGTGCTTCAGATTTGGCACCTCCCGACCGCGGCCTTCCTCTTGCTTTGCAGCTGCAGCGTCCAGTGGCACGCGGCCCATGTGAGCCCCGCGCCGAGCACTCGCTTGCTCTGGGAGACGCCACGTCATAGCAACGTCACGGCGCCTGCGACGCCGACGCCCAAGGCCGAAATTGCCGCGACGCCACGCGGCAACACATTCGCTCATCCGCCGTCCATTGTCTAAAGGCATGTACGAGACGGTCGCCAGCAATAATTTATTTCAACCAGTTCGTTCAGAACAAGTAGTGCTGTCATCTTTGATCGTGCAGGAGCCATCTGGAGAGTGCCATCAGCACACCAGAAGCGGCGACGTCAACACCCGAGCTGCACAAGCCCTACAACGCCGTCTTGAGAGCGGAAATACTTTCGCCAACGACCAGACGGATTCTCGCTCCACTCGGCGCAACAACAAACGGCGGCGCAGACCTCGAAGCGCTGGCTCGCTGTCGCTACTGCCCATACGCCGCTGGTCTCTAGACCGCACCGCCCCTTTACATGGCGCTCTTCAATCTCTACTCAGGACGGATACTGCTTGGCAGATCCCGGAGACGGAGTTCCAACATATAACTATACTGCATTCAGCACGCTTAGGCTTCGTCGAGCGTGATCGTCTTGATGATGCGGCCCGTGACGACGTACGGGTCCATGTTGGAGGCCGGGCGGCGGTCCTCAAAGTAGCCCTTGCCGTCGGCTTCGGCCTGGCGCGGAATGCGGATCGACGCGCCGCGGTTGGCGACGCCGTACGAGAACTGGTCGATCGACGCGGTCTCGTGGCGGCCCGTGAGCCGGCGCTCGTTGCCCGTGCCGTAGACCGCAATGTGCACCTTGTGCTTGAGCTTGAGCTTCTCGAGCGCCTCGATGATCTTGGCCATGCCGCCGTCTTCGCGCATCGCCTTGGTCGACACGTTGGTGTGGCAGCCGGCGCCGTTCCAGTCGCCCGGAATCGGCTTCGGGTCAAACGACACAATGACACCAAAGTCCTCGCACACGCGCAGCATGATGTAGCGCGAGATCCAGAGCTGGTCGCCCGACTCGATGCCCGTGCACGGCCCGACTTGGTACTCCCACTGGCCAGGCATGACCTCGGCGTTGATGCCAGAGACGCGGACGCCGGCGTAAAGGCACGCGCGGTAGTGCGCGTCGGCGATGAGACGGCCAAAGGCCGAGTGCGCGCCGGCGCCGCAATAGTACGGACCCTGCGGCCCCGGGAAGCCGCCTTTCGGCCACCCGTACGGTGTCACCTGGTCCTTCTCAAAGAGCGTGTACTCTTGCTCGATGCCAAACCACGGCACGTGTGCCTTGGCCGCCTCCATGACGCGCGCCGCGTCGAAGCGCGTGTTGGTCGGGATCGGCGTCATGTCGGGCTTGTAGCAGTCGCAGAGCACGAGGATGTGGTTGCCGCGGCGGAACGGGTCCTTGTAGATGGCGGCCGGCTTGAGCATGACCTCCGAGTCCGCACCCGGCGCTTGGTCCGTGCTCGAGCCGTCAAAGTTCCAGATCGGAAGGTCAGCGACCGACGTCGGCGCCTTGTCGAGCGTGCGCGTCTTGCAGCGGAGGTCCTGGCCCGAGCCGCCGATCCAGACGTACTCGGCTTGGATGTAGTTGCCCGTGTCGAGGCTCGCGTACGAGTCGTAGACGGCGCGGTCGAGCTTGCTCATGGTCGTGGTGGTGTCGAGGTGGCAGAAGCAGAAGTGAGTGAAGCAGGAGATGGTGTTGGCGGCAGCAGAAGCGCGAGGTACGAAGATCGCGCGCTCTTGGCTGCTCGCTACAGAACGTTCCCGTGGCTGCGGCGGTCTCTGTTGCGTCAACAGGTCTCTGTCAAAGATTGGCTTGCTCGACGTGGATTGGCTGCGGCGATTGCGGCAACTTCAACTTTGCGCCGAATCAGACAGGCGTCCGAAAATCCACTTTGAATTCGGACATGTCCGATTTGTATCGCGCACTTTCGCTTCACAGTGAGATGTTTTAATCAGGATTCTAGGATGTTTCGTAGTGCCACGTCAAACAAGATGCGCTCGCTCTCCTCAAGGTTCCCCGCGGAGGAAGAGGAAGAGCGTACCGCCAACCAGGTGCTTTGCGCTGTCATGGGTGACACTGACGCGCCCGAGTCGATCGACACATCGGACGAGCGCTCTAGTGGCTCTATATAACACACCCGTGACGATAAGCTGGGAGGACTGCCACCGCCGCAAGGACAGCAAGGACGTCCATGGGCTCCTGGCAACCGACGTTACGTGGGTCACGGTGGAAGTCCATAGATGGAAGACGCTCTCGTCATTGACCAGTGACATAGAACCCACACTTTGATCTGGTCCGCCCCTCGCCGACGCCACGAGTATCCACAAGGTGAACGACCGGCAATCCAGGCAGCTTGGCATGCGCAATCGGTGGGGGTCCCAGGCCAACTCGACTGTTTAAACACCCAAGAGGTAGGCGTAAAATCCCTTGAATCTTCGTCCAGCCCACAACTGACCGTTGAATCGCAATCGGACGCACGCAATCCCTTCGAAATTTTCCCCACCAATCGCCACGCGTTTCAAACCTTTTGCACCAATCCATGCACGACTAGAGAATGTATTTCAGCCAATGGCATGCGGCCGACTGAGATCTTTCCCGTGGATTGCCGAGCCCGCCCCTCGCTCACTTCTGCTTCTGCCACCTCGACACCACCACGACCATGAGCAAGCTCGACCGCGCCGTCTACGACTCGTACGCGAGCCTCGACACGGGCAACTACATCCAAGCCGAGTACGTCTGGATCGGCGGCTCGGGCCAGGACCTCCGCTGCAAGACGCGCACGCTCGACAAGGCGCCGACGTCGGTCGCTGACCTTCCGATCTGGAACTTTGACGGCTCGAGCACGGACCAAGCGCCGGGTGCGGACTCGGAGGTCATGCTCAAGCCGGCCGCCATCTACAAGGACCCGTT